GCCGATCTCCAACATCTATAAACAAGGGTGTTGATAGAAGCAGCACAGCTGATGTTTCTTTCCAGGATGACGTCACAGCCAAACAGGAACAGACGAGGCAAAGCTACTCTGAGGAAAAGCAGAGAGAGCAGAAGGTTAGAGATTGAACTAACAGATTCTGCAGAATAGGAGAACAGAGAGAGAATGAAGCAGAATGATGAAATGGGGGTCCCTACGTCCTCCAAAAGTCTAAGCCTATAGCAGCATAAATATAGAGAGAGAGCTCAGGATAACCTGAGCCACCCTAACTATAAGCTTTATCAAAAAGGAAAGTTTTAAGCCTAGTCTTAAAAGTAGACAGAGTGTCTGCCTCACGGACTAAAACTGGTAGTTGGTTCCACAGGAGAGGAGCCTGATAACTAAAAGATGTGCCTCCCATTCTACTTTTAGAAATTCTAGGAACCACTGGTAAACCTGCAGATTGAGAGCGAAGTGCTCTGTTAGGAACATAAGGAACAATCAGATCTCTGATATAAGATGGAGCTTGGCCATTTAAGCCTTTATATGTGAGAAGGAGGATTTTAAATTCTATTCTTGATTTAACAGGAAGCCAATGAAGAGAAGCCAGGATAGGAGAGATATGATCTCTCTTTTTAATTTTCATCAGAACTCTGGCTGCAGCATTTTGGATCAGCTGAAGGCTTTTAACTACAGTTTGTGGACTTCCTGATAGTAAAGAATTACAATAGTCCAGCCTTGAAGTAACAAATGCATGGACTAGTTTCTCAGCATCACCCCTGGACAGGAGATTTCTAATTTTTGCAATGTTCCTCAGATGAAAGAAGGAAATTCTAGAAACCTCTTTGATCTGGGATTTAAATGACAGGTCCTGATAAAAAATAACACCAAGATTTTTTACTTTATTATCTGAAATCAGTTTGATCCCATCCAAATGAAGTGACTGGCTAATCAGCTTCTTTTTCAGAGACTCTGGTCCAAAGACTATAACTTCTGTTTTGTCTGCATTCAGAAGCAGAAAGTTAAGAGTCATCCAGGTTTTTATGTCTTCAAGACATGCTTGTAATCTTTGTAATGGGTTAGCTTCATCTAGATTTATAGACAGATATAGCTGGGTATCATCAGCATAACAGTGGAAATTAATCCCATGCTGTCTAATAATTCTACCAATTGGGAGCATGTATAAAGTAAAGAGAATTGGTCCTAGCACTGATCCCTGTGGTACTCCACAGGTAACCTTTGAGTGTGTTGAAGATCTATCATTAACATAAACAAACTGAATTCGATCAGATAGATAGGATTTAAACCAGTCTAGTGCTGTTCCTTTAATTCCAACAAAATATTCAAGTCTTTCTAAAAGAATATTATGGTCAACTGTATCAAATGCAGCACTAAGATCCAACAGGACGAGCACAGATACAAGTCCATTATCTGAGGCCATGAGAATATCATTAGTGACTTTCACCAGAGCTGTTTCAGTGCTATGATGAGCTCTAAAGCCAGACTGAAACTCTTCAAAAAGTTCATTATGGTGTAAGTGGTCGCAAACTTGTTTGGCAACTACTTTCTCAAGAATTTTGGATAAGAAAGGAAGATTGGATATAGGTCTATAATTAACCAAGTCATCTGGGTCAAGAGACGGTTTCTTAAGCAGAGGTTTAATTACAGCAACCTTAAAAGCTTTAGGTACATATCCCTGTAACAGAGATAGATTAATCACATCTAAAATGGAGGAGGAGATCAAAGGGAATACCTCCTTAAATAACCTGGTTGGAACTGGATCTAACATACAAGTTGAAGGCCTAGATGAAGACAATAATTTTGCTAATTCAGAAAGTTCAACTGGATCAAAGCAGTCTAAACCCGGTTCAGATTCCATGACTACCTCAGGTACAATCGCGGATAGAGGAGTGCTTATGATCTTATTTTTAATAAGATCAATCTTATTTATAAAGAATCCCATAAAATCATTGCTGCTAAGAGCAGGTGGAATGGACGGTTCAACAGAGCTATGGCTCTGGGTGAGTTTGGCAACTGTATTAAAAAGAAATCTAGGATTATTCTTATTCTCCTCTATTAATGAGGAGAAGTATGCTGCTCTTGCTTTACAAAGGGTCCTCTTATACAGCAGTAAACCATTTTTCCAGACTAGGAAGGACTCCTGCAGGCCTGTGGAGCGATATTTTCTCTCCAGTTTCCTAGCATTTTGCTTCAAAGTACGCAGCTCTGCATTAAACCAAGGAGCAAGCTTTCTATTTTTAACGGTTTTCATTTTCAAAGGAGCTGCGTTGTCTAAGGCAGTACGCAGAGAACTAGCAACCCCATCAACAAAATCATCAACCTGTGAAGGGGAATAAGCTATACTTTTGCACTCTGCAGCACTGCTCAGCGACACAGAGGAGAGAGAAAGTGAAGCCGCTTCTTTAAAATTTATAACTGCACTATCTGATAAAGATCTACTAAAATTGAACCTTCTTTTGGGGGAGGAGAACTCTGTTAAAGTAATCCTGAAGGTTATTAGAAAGTGGTCAGAGAGGACAGGGTTGTGAGGAAATACTGTTATTTCTTCACATTCTATGCCGTATGTCAGCACAAGATCCAAAGTATGAAGATGAGAATGTGTGGGACTATTCACATTTTGAACAAAGCCAATAGTGTCTAAGATAGCATTAAAGGCTGCTCTTAAGCTATCGCCTTCAATGTCAGCATGGATGTTAAAATCTCCCACTATGATGACCCTGTCAGTATTTAATACCAAATCAGAAAGGAACTCTGAAAACTCATCTAAAAATTCAGAGTAAGGACCTGGCGGACAATACAAAGTTACAAAAAGAAGAGGTTTTCTTGCCTTGAAATTTGGATGAGGGAAATTAAGGGTTAAATGTTCAAAAGAGTTGTAGGTATTAACTGTTTTGGGAGTAATCAGTAAGTCAGACTGGAAGATTGTTGCTACTCCTCCTCCTCGCCCAGAACTTCTGGGTATGTGAAAATTTAAATAGCTTGAAGGAGTTGCCTCGTTTATGCTCACATAATCCTCTTGCTGCAGCCAGGTTTCTGTAAGGCAAAACAGGTCAATGTGATTATCACAAATCAAGTCATTAACTAGCAGACTTTTAGAGGAAAGCGATCTTATGTTAAACAGACCGCATTTAATTGTTTTAACTTTTTCCCCACTTGGAGTTATTTTGATTTTAATTAGATTATCATGATTTACTCCTTTGGGAATCTTTGCTAATTTATTAGATTTTGGTCGTGGGCAAGACACTGTCTGGATGGAGTAAAGAGTGGGTAACAGTAGAGAAGCTGCAGAGATGTGTGTTAAACTACAACTCTGCTTCCTGGTCTGCACCCTGGGTGGTCAGGGTTTTGGAGGACTAATAAATGTGGCCAGATTCCTAGAAAGAAGAGCTGCACCATCCAAAGTGGGATGGATGCCGTCTCTCCGAATCAGACCAGGCTTTCCCCAAAAGGATTGCCAATTATTAATGTAGCCCACGTTGTTTTCAGGACACCACCTAGACAACCAGCGGTTGAATGACGACATGCGGCTAAACTTGTCATCACTGGTCAGATCAGGGAGGGGACCAGAGAAAATTACGGAGTCCGACATTTTTTTGGCAAACTTACACACCGAAGCAACACTAATTTTAGTGACCTCCGATCGGCGTAACCGGGTGTCATTACCACCAGCGTGAATAACAATCTTACTGTATTTAACCTTATCCTTAGCCAGTAGTTTTAGGTAGGATTTGATGTCGCCTGTTCTGGCCCCCGGCAAACATTTGACTATGGTCCCTGGTGTCTCTAATGCCACGTTTCTGACTATGGAGCTGCCAATCACCAGAGTGGGCTTCTCAGTGGGTGTGTCACTGAGTGGGGAAAACCGGTTAGAAACGTGAACGGGTTGGTGGTGACCAGTGGGCAGAGATCCACGACTACGCTTTCTGCGTACTGGAGGAAATGATTCACTGCGGTACCATCTTACAGTAGATCACAGTCAAAACAGGTACACAAACTTTCAAAGGAGGTGATGCAGTAGTGCCAAAAATTATCAACAAGTTATATAAAAAATTCCTGATTGTGAAATGTTTATATTGGATCATAAATAGCATTACACATGGGTATGAAATACATCATAAGATATTTTCTAAGTCTACGTTTTTCAGGCCAAGGACCCCCAAACTGATGGCGAGATGGAGCGGGGACCCCCTAATTATATATATTGTATGAAATTGTGTTATATCAAAAAATGAAAGTATTTTATCCCTGGGATTATTAAAGTATTTCTGATTCTGATTCCTGGTTGATGGGACAGGTGTTGTGAATGAAACGGTGCCCAGGTTGAAAGAGCTCCTGTGTGTCGCTGAATGTGTGCATTGATGACTGAAAGGCATCTTCTGCCTCCGTTTATCTGTTTACTACAGTGTTTTGAATTCATCTTATTATTTAAAGACATTTCAATTAGTGAAAGAAAATTGCAGGGGGAATATATATATATATATATAAAAAGTCTAATCAACCAAATCTTTCGCAACCCCCATGCAGTACCTCTGTGGACCCCCTAGGAGTCGCGGACACCCTGTTGAAGACCTCTGTTCTAAGTGATAAAAGCCAGAAGCTAATTAAAAAAGATTTATTTTGTGTATTCAATTGTTGATTGAATTGATTTCTTAGTCCCACCCCCACCCCCCAGAAAAAAAGACTTTCACAACACTGAGTACAAGCCAGGTTTTCAAACTAATTCTTCAGTGAGTAATTCCTGCATCAGGCTGCTTAATCTGTGAGGTTCAGCAGTTAAATGCAGGCATTCCAATTATTTTTCTTATTTTTATAGGCAGGATATGAACTGAAAATAAGTTGCTTAATCTTTAGCATAACTTTGAAAGTATAAGTAGCTGGTGAAAAAAACTGCAATTGCGATTTTCCGTCATGACCTTGTTGCCTTTAGGTCTTCACAACATTAATTCAATAAGATGGAAGTAAATTCAAACAACAAAATGTGAAACCTTTAAAACTGATTCTTTATTTTCTATCAGTATTTCAGCAGCTTTGACAGAAAAAAATACTTTTCATTGCTTTCTTCCTAATAAGTAAAGGTGTAATAATTACACCGGAAAGTATTGATCAAAAGAGGATATTTTTTTAATTTGGCAGAACAGCGAAAGTTTAATTTATGTTTAGCACAAATGTTTTTATACATGTAGACGAAACCTATTAGTTATATTATCAGAGCTAAACCTACTTTTATTTCTGATGTTTTAATTTGCGTCAAATCATTTGCTGTTAGAAAAATAAGTTGATTTTAGTTGCGAACATGTAATAATCACACAAGGATGACACAGCAGCAAATTGTAATTTCTTTTCAATGACAATATGTGGATTTTTTTATGCATTTTTTTTTTCAGTTACATAAAGAAACACGTAGTTAGGCGTCGTCAAAGCGCCCCTTTTTTTTCCTTCCCCTCAACAGAACGGCGATCCACTCATCTGTTCTCGATCTCTCACAGTTGTGATTGCTGTATTTACAGTGCCTCGGTTTTAGAAAAGTGCAGCACGCGTCGAGTATTTACAGGTATAAAAAAAGGACAAACATGGAGGCAGCAACTTATTCTGAGGCATTTAAAAAAAAAAAGTTGTGTTCTGAACCGATGTTTGTCCTCCACGCCTCACAAAATGCTTGTTCTGTCTGAGACACACAAAAAAAACTCACACATTCAACTGCAAACACTACAAAACCCTCTCATGGTTCTGTAGAAAATACATGTTCACATTCTTGTACAATATACAATGTATACTGAATATGATGCACCTCTTTAAAATTCAGTACAGTGCAAATTATGTCTTTTTTTTTTTTGACATTCTTTTTAAAGTTCTTTCAGCCCCACAGTTGAAGCTCATCTAAAAAAATGAGCTGCGGTGGTTTTAACAACTGAAGTAGTGAGGAAAGAGTGACTGTAGGCACCAACAATATTATAGATCTCTACCCTCTTTTTCACAAGCTTTAAATAGAATATCACTTCTTCTTTTTCAAGTTTATGTTCAACTAGATAAAACAAGGTGTAAAAATGAATTTTCTCATACTCTAGAGTCGCACGCAGCTCCCTTAATGAAGTGAGCAGATCAAGCAGTTGAGACAATTAAAAAACTACATTTTTTTGTAGTGGGAGTTGGTGCCGACTCTAAACCAAGGCAGTTCTAGCTGGTGTTTATCTTGAGGTTCTTCATGCGGTGAAGCAGAGAGTCCTTCTCCATCTGAGCCTCAGCCAGCGCCATCTTGGCTCTGGACAACTCCATCTTCAGGCATTCGTTCTCCTCCAGCAGCATCTGGAAGCACATTGGACCCATGTTATGAAATAGAAGGAAAGGATGCATCGATTTCAATGTTTTTAACAGATAAAACTAGAGAATGTGCTTAATATGGTCGTATTTCATTCCCTTGATTGTGATCACAATGAACCTTAAAGCTTCAAAACACTAAAATGGAAGACCAACCATCCCTAAGCAGAAACACAGTGGTGGCAGCATAATGCTGTGGGAATACATTAATTCAAGATGAATAGAGAAGCTAGTCGGACTGGTTGGGTAGGTGGATGGAGCTAAATAATCCTGGAGATCTTAATTATGAGACTGAGATTAAGCTTCCAGCAGAATATAGATCTAAAATACCAAGATTTACAACACAGATCCTTCAGGTGTCAGACTGACCCTTGGCACGGATCGGATCTAAGCTACTTGAAAAATGCTGTTCTAACTGTTCTGTCTAAGCTGAGTGAGTTTCAGCTGTTTTACTATAAAAAAAGTGCAGAAAACTTTATTTTCTAGACAAGCACAGCTAGTAGAGAAAAAAATAAAATAAAAAATCCTGGAGCTTTATTGGTGACTAATGTTGTTCTATGAATTAATGAATACTATCATTCAGGACACACTTTTAAGATGTTTAATGCAGATATACTTTGTCCTTTAATATCTGCACTGTTGGTTTTGTGTCCATCAATAAAAAACACAGATTGAGCTGAAACATTATGATACATAACATAACAATATGTACGACTTGATCATTTAATTTCTGAAATACTTAGTATGTCTAAATGTTCTTCAGGATTTCTTGAAAAAAAAAAACTAGCCTAAAGAAGAATTACAGTTTAAACATCACCCTAAGCAATTAGCTTTGTTTTATTAAGCTATTGGTTTGTGTCTGACCTTCTCCCTGGTTGATGGGCCGGGGCTGCTGGGCGTTGTTTGAGTCTGCGTCGCCTTCGCCGTCCTGCAGACGCTGCTCACAGCCTCAGGAACTGGACTCAGACAGCTGTCAACTGCTGCTTTCTTTGGTTTTGCGTCTGCTGCACCATCCACTGGGGGGAGCACAGAGCAAAGCAGAGTCAGTCGTTAATTAAACCTGATCAGCGTCAGTGTTTGATCTGAATAGACGCTGCATCTACCTCCTATTGAGAAAGACCCGTCATCCTGTCTGTGTACGACGAGGCTGTCAACATGTAGTGTGATCGCCGAGGGCTCGCCGTCCGAAGGGTTGTCAGAGGGGTCGTCTCCCTGTGTTAGACACAATGTTGAAAATGTCCTTCATGTGTCACCATACTTTCAACTCGTACCCTTATTTCTGTTTAAATGAACTTTTCTTACGTTTAAATTGATGTGCGTGTCCTTGATGCTGATCTCCATGGGCAGCACCTCTGAAGGGCCGTCGCCCTCCAGGAAAAGCGCCAGGTTGCGTAGCGAGGCCATCATAAAGTTGCCTTGGTATCCATGGAGATGTAGCTGCAGGAAGCCGTTGCGCTCCGCCAGCGGTGAATGGGTGGCGGCCCTGGGCCCGCTCTCTAGGCGAGCCCGGACCTCCGGACTGTAAAGGCCCCGGCGGGAGTCGGATTTGGGCTCCCCACCAGCTGTGGGAGTACAGAAAACAATCCTAGTGAAGAGTTTGAGTCGTCTTTGAGGAAAGTGTGAAGCAGCGACTTTTGAACCCCTGAAATTAAAATACTCCAAAGCTTAAAATGCAGCTTTTCAAACCTGATGTATTCAAATCAAAGAAAAATAAAATCCTTTTTCTGCATTTAATTTCTGAAAGAAAAAAAAAAACATGAAACACATAGCCCTGAATGCAGATGATTTACAGATATATGAATAAAACAATATCAGCACAAGGACAGCGCGCTGACAAATGTCCTGTTTTTTAAACAAAAAAAATCAATAAATATTACACAATAATAGAAAAACTAGAGAAAAAATTAATCCGAAACATTTGGGGTATAATTGCATGGGTGAAAAATAACAAATATATGAAAATGTATTATTCAAACATTTTCTGTATTAGCTCTACTTTAAAACAGATGTAATTTTGGCCTTTAAGTTTCTAATTTGGTTGTTCATGTGCTGCAGTTATAAATTAAAATAAAAAAATAAAGTGTTATTTTACTCCAAACTATAATTAAAAAAGCGATTTTTGTTAATTAAATATATACTAAAATATGCATTTAAAGTGCACCAGAAATGTCCATATCTGGATTAAAAGAGTTGTTTTAAGATTAAACTTCAAAGCTAACAAAAACCCAAAAGGAGTGTTATTAAGCTTCAATTCCAATGATGCTAGATGTGGAAAAAAAAAAAGCTGAGACTTCTGAGTGCCTTAACTCATCTGAAAAAGTTGCAGTCGCCTTAAAAAGAAAGGTCAGATTATGAAGGGTTACGTTGTCAGATTATAAGGAGTCAATATCTTACCTGAAAGCTACACTTCTTTGTGATTTACCAAAGATCCTAGATTTAGAACATCATCCTTCTAATGCATCCTAAATAAGGTTTAACAGCACATTTAAAGTGAAATCTATAATATTTACCAAATTAAAATATTGCTCCCTTTAATTTTAATCAAATAACCTTATAAACCTTAAGCAGCTGTTTGATAAGTTAAAGATTTTTTTTTTTATCTAAACTACTAAAGTATTTCAAAACAATTTAAATGAGCTAATGTATGCACTTTAAATTAAAGGAGTATATTTCAGGTCAAGTTCAAAAGTAGCTTTAAGTGAGATATGAAGCAGCTGCAAAGAAGGAAAGAGCAGATCAAAAAGAGGAGCTGGAGACGCAGCTGGAAACAAACAAAAGGAGAAGATTACCTTAGAAGGAATGCAAGACAGACCGACTGAAACAGGCTTTTTTTTTCTGTCCCACAGACACCGGCTAACAGTCATGTTTAATTATGTCTGTAGACTTTCACTCAAAACTGGAGCTTAAGTGCTAATGTATGAGAGGGGAAATCTGGAAGCTGAATACTGAAAAGTTCCAACATCTTTACCCAGAAGGATGGAAAATGTTAAAAAAAACATAAACAATACAGAAAATGATAAAAGCAGAGATTGAGACATAAAAAAAGGCAAGCGTATGGTCACATTTTCAAAACAGGTAGCGAAATGCATCAAAAGCCGCAGCGCATCATTCAACAAGGCGTGGAGATGAACATTCACAAGAAGTGAGTCACCTTCATTTAAAATGCTATGAAAGAATGTATGGAGGGGGGTAATACCGCAGGAAACACGCAAATATCCATACGTATACGCAGAGCTGACAGCTTTTCTTACACCAAGTGACATTTTTTCTCTGTACTGAGCAGCTTCAGTCAGAGGGGGGGAAAAAAAGCAGAGGAGAGAAAAAGATGCAAAGCAGGAAAAAGCCAGGAGCTGAATGAGTGAGATAAGACAGAGGGGAGAGAGAAAAGATGGCCCTGAGAAGAAAAGAAACACTTGGACGGAAAGGTGGAGATGGAGGAGTGAGAGACAGGATTAAGAAGAATGAGGAGGAGGAGGAGTAGAGAGGAAAATTGGAAGGAAAGAGAGAGAGGATGAGGAGGATGGGGGAAAGAAATTGGTGGCAAGGGGGGAAAGCTGGCATTTCTCTCATCGCCTGAATCACTGGACTGAAACTGCAAAGTCTGCTGCAGTAAAAAGAGAGAGGAGGATGAGGTGGACGGGGAGAATTAGAGGAGAGAACAGGAGGATTAGGGGTTAAATCGGATCGCGCAAAAACTGCAAGTTAATTTAAATCCGCCACTCACGTATTTAAAGGCTGGGGGGCCTAATGTTGCAAATAATGGCAGCACTCAGTCCATTACAGACAAATCTATCCTTCATTAAGTGCCACTCACACATACAGACTCAAGTATTTCCCATCTGCAGCGGAAAAAATGAGCAAACACACACGATCCATGCGCTGCAACACTGCAGAGCATGTTAAGCACACGCACAGATGCACTGAGCCGAGCATGCATGTTAGGATTCACATGGTGGATTAGCACACAGCAGTTACCTTGGCTGCTCTGAGCAGGTATTGGTACTGAACACACCATATCTGTGGGGAGGTTATGAAGGTAAATAAAAACAAAAGGAGGGGTGGATGTGTTAGCGTGTGTTTACACTAGGGTTGAAACAATTAATGGGATTAATAATGATTAATCGATTATTGAAATAATTGTCAACTAATCTAGTAATCAATTAATCCTTAACTAGAATATAGAGATTGTAAAACATGCCTTTAGCTGACAGAGCAATCCAGTCAGAGCAGTAATTATACTAAAATGGTAAAACAATATATAAACATTTTGCATTTGAAATGCATTTAAAAGTTTTTCATCCATCAATATGCTCTATCCAGGACTCCCTCAAGTGGAAAAGTTTTACCTTTTTTAATTTCATGAAAAATCCTCTTTAAGAAGCCGTTTGCCATCCGATTATTAATCGGATGGAAAAAAATTCGGCAGATTAATCGATTTGAAAACTAATTGTTAGTTGCAGCCCTAGTTTAGACCGAGCCCGGTATCCATGGTGATTTCCACAGACCCGCGGGGAGTTCACCGCTCTGCATTTCAAATAAGTGTTTACACCCTGGACCAAATGTCACCAAATAGGAGGAGCTCCAGCTGCGTGAAGCTGACACCCCACCGACGTGAAAAAACTCAGCAAATAGACTGAATGATTATTGTATCATCAGTCCTTGTTTTTACAGTTAAAAACTATCATTTGTAAAAGAAGAAAATAACTAAAGATAATGTGTGCTACTGTTGTTTCAGAGATATTAAAGATTATTTTTTTAGGTCACCCAGAGGTCAGCTATCCCCCATTTAGCTCGAATTGAATAAAAATTATCTACTTTTTCTGTACTACTCTATTTTCACTGTTGTTTGTGTCGATTTGTTTTTTGTGATGGGATCATTCTTAATTTTGGCCGCCGCCGCTGTTCTCGCATAATGTAATAGAGCATTCCTGTGCTGACATTGAATATAGCAGTTGGCCTCTTTTCCTTTTTAGTGGCTGGAAGGAATATATATTGTGCCTTATCAGCCTCCTAGATTCTTCAATTTGGATCTGCCGTTACCCCTAACACTTATAGCATTTCCTGCCAAGGTCTCCCTCTCGACAGTTCCCAATAAAAGCACAGGTGAAACGTATCATTACAGATTGCTGCTAAATTGTTCTCTATGCACAACTTTGGAATCTGCTTAAGGAGACATCAGTGTTTGGAAAAGCCCCAGAAGCCCTGAAAAAGTAGATCATTTGGTTCTGCAGAATCAGCGGTACTTCCTTGTAGATCTACATGCACAGAAAGCCCCTGTGCTGGAGGTAAGGGAGGATGATGTACAGTCCTTCTAGGACTAAATTAAAACAACTTTCTATAACGCCTTTCCTTTAACCCTCTATAGAGTATTCCTTATTTCATGCTCTATCCACATAATTTCCTCTTTATTCCATTTTAACTGAAAAAACTTCGGCTACAATTCTTTAACATACGTGACAATTACAAACCAGTCCCTGATTGGTGTCCGCGACGTGATTTCATAGAAAAGTTCCGCTCGTTTCAACTTCAGTGATCACCACTCCGCTCTCTCCATGTGGTGCTGCTGTTTAACAACATCTGCTATAGAGGCAATATGGAAGACTGAGCTTAGTAACTGGCAGATGAGTTACCATTCATTCATGTGTCAGGGTACGCGCACCAGGGGGAGGGAGAAGCAGACGACTCTGATTGAACCTTTTTTTTTTTCGTTTTCACTTCCAGACCTTCTATTTCACTGCTTGCTACGCGGCTGTGGGGAGATTTTCAAGCCACATGGTAAAAAAAAATGTGTCAGAAAAGATCTCCTACAGGTGCTGGTCATAAAATTAGAATATCATGAAAAAGTAGATTGATTTCAGTAATTCCATTTAAAAAGTGAAACTTGTATATTATATTCATACATTACATACAAACTCATATATTTCAGATGTTTATTTTGTTTAATTTTGATGATTACAAATGACAACAAATGAAAATCTCAAATTCATCATATCAGAAAATTAGAATATTGTGAAAAGGTTCAAAATTGATGGCCCCTGGTGCCACACTCTAATCAGCTAATTAACTCAAACCACCTGCAAAAGCCTTTAAATGGTCTTTCAGTCTAGTTCTATAGGCTACACAATCATGGGGAAGACTGCTGACTTGACAGTTGTCCAAAAGACGACCATCGACACCTTGCACAAGGAGGGCAAGACACAAAAGGTCATCGCTAAAGAGGCTGGCTGTTCACAGAGCTCAGTGTCCAAGCACATTAATAGAGAGGCGAAGGGAAGGAAAAGATGTGGTAGAAAAAAGTGTACAAGCAAGAGAGATAACCGCACCCTGGAGAGGATTGTGAAACAAAACCCATTCAAAAATGTGGGGGAGATTCACAAAGAGTGGACTGCAGCTGGAGTGAGTGCTTCAAGAACCACCACACACAGACGTATGAAAGACATGGGTTTCTGCTGTCGCATTCCTTGTGTCAAGCCACTCTTGAACCACAGACAGCGTCAGAAGCGTCTTGCCTGGGCTAAAGAGAAACAGGACTGGACTGCTGGTGAGTGGTCCAAAGTCATGTTCTCTGATGAAAGTAAATTTTGCATTTCCTTTGGAAATCAAGGTCCCAGAGTCTGGAGGAAAAGAAGAGAGGCACTTCATCCACGTTGCTTGAAGTCCAGTGTAAAGTTTCCACAGTCAGTGATGGTTTGGGGTGCCATGTCATCTGCTGGTGTTGGTCCATTGTGTTTTCTGAGGTCCAGGGTCAACGCAGCCACATACCAGGAAGTTTTAGAGCACTTCATGCTTCCTGCAGCTGACCAACTTTTTGGAGATGCAGATTTCATTTTCCAACAGGACTTGGCACCTGCACACAGTGCCAAAGCTACCAGTACCTGGTTGAAGGACCATGGTATCCCTGTTCTTAATTGGCCAGCAAACTCTCCTGACCTTAACCCCATAGATTTTCTATGGGGTATTGTGAAGAAGAAGATGCAATACACCAGACCCAACAATTCAGAAGAGCTAAAAGCCACTATTAGAGCAACCTGGGCTATCATAACACCTGAGCAGTGCCACAGACTGATCGACTCCATGCCACGCCGCATTGCTGCAGTAATACAGGCCAAAGGAGGCCCAACTAAATACTGAGTGCTGTACATGCTCATACTTTTCATGTTCATACTTTTCAGTTGGCCAACATTTCTATAAATCCTTTGTTTTTATTGGTCTTCAGTAATATTCTAATTTTCTGATATGATGAATTTGAGATTTTCATTTGTTGTCATTTGTAATCATCAAAATTAAACAAAATAAACATCTGAAATATATGAGTTTGTATGTAATGTATGAATATAATATACAAGTTTCACTTTTTAAATGGAATTACTGAAATCAATCTACTTTTTCATGATATTCTAATTTGATGACCAGCACCTGTACTGCACCTTTAACAGTTGATATAGGTGCCAACATTTTTAAAATATAATTAATGCAAATCTGAATTCTTATTTTTCTTTCCCATTCACCTAAAGAACAACAAACATTCAAAACCTGATATAACAGGGAATTATTTTTTTTCAAAAAGAATTTGAACCTTTTCAGCAACGTCATTCGCCTCTTCGTTAAAGGAGGAATATTGTGGTGTTGCTCGCCGTTTCTCTATCCGTCTCTAAAACGTATCTCTAAACATTTAACACCTGAAGTCAAATAAGTTAGAATAACGGTAAAGATGTTCTTTAAAGTGAATAAAACCACATCACCCCACTCATGACTTAAAAAGCCAAATGTTCCATAACTTATGGTTTTATAGCTTTCTGATTATAAATAATGCATTGTCTGATCCATTTCTTTTCCCTCCGTTTTTTTTACAAATTGAATACATTTAAAGTTAAAGCTTAAAACAGACAAGATTGTCCTTTTTTTTTTCTTTTAAAGGCATTCCACAAAAAAAAAAAAATATATAATGACACACCCCATGTAAGTTCTGACACATACATATCACGCTGTTAAAAGTGAGTGGAAAACATGCAAAAAAACCTGAATTGATCCTAAAACGTTCTTTATCTGATGAGTAGTGATGGGTCGGGCAACACCGATGCGTCGGCGCATGTGTCGGTCTCATAGAGCGAAACCTGTGTCGACGTGTGTATCGCTACGGAAAAGTCACGTGACCGAAACAGTTCATGTATCGGTCACGTGACCGATGTTTCGAACTGATTGACAAGCCTTTATAAGGATGCACATCTGCCAAAACAATCTTGCGTGTTTTGCGAATATAAAATTCATCAAACATTATGGAGCTTCCTCAAGCAAAAAGAAAGGTTTCTGCCGTGTGGGACCACTTTGATGTCATTTCGGAAAATAAGGTATTTGTTTTAATTTCCTTGTTTCATCCTGTTCCTCTCAGAGTTTCCACTTGATTTTCTGAGTAGAAATTCATTTCAAAGTGACCTTTAGTTTACTGTTCGTGTTATTTTCTACAGGTTAAATGTCGCAATTGCTCAACAGAGCTTGCATATTTAAATAACAGCACCTCCTCAATGCTGAGGCATTATAGGGCCAAGCATGAGAGTGAAATCCATGATACACCCATGATGAACTCAGGTATACAGGTATTTTACAACTTACTGACTTTGTTTTATTGATAATTCTGAATAATTTACACTTTCTCATTTTTAACCATCAAGCTTCCAGAAAGCAGATGCTTGATGAGGCTGTGCTTAATTTCATTGTAAAGGACTGCCAGCCCCTCGCTGTTGTGGAGAATGAAGGGTTCAGGGAGCTGGTTCAGCTCCTTGAGCCCTCATATGTTTTGCCAACCAGAAAGGTTTGTGTGGAAATTATCTAAAGTGGTAGTTTATTCATCAACTTTATTTTAAATATATTGATTTTCTTCTGGTTTGACTTGGTGTGGTTTTCAGACCATCAAACAACTGTTGGCCAAAAATTACGAGGAGGAACGGGAACGAGTGAAAATGGAAGTACAGCAGACTGCGGACAGAATGTGCCTCAATAGTTGGAAGCTCAAATGAGCCCCAGCCGGGAACATCTTCACAACAGCTGTCTGCCCCCACTTCAGGCATGATATTGAGCATCATTTCTTTGTTGTTTGTAAATCATGTACTAAAATACTTTTTTTTTTTTTAAGATGACCTTTGGGAACATTTTGATCTCGAAGTGGGGAGGCAGACCAAAAGTGCCACAGCTGATGCCATCCTTGAGGTGCAGAGATACATGGCAGAGGGCAATATTGCAAGGTCCCAGGATCCTCTTGTATATTGGAAAAACCAAAGGACGGTTTATCCAAACCTCTTCCGCCTGGCCTTAAAATTTCTGTGCACTCCAGCTTCATCTGTGCCGTGTGAGCGGGTGTTTTCCACAGCTGGAGAACTAATATCAAAAAAGCGTAACAGACTGAATTTCAAAACGTTGCAACAACTTATTTTTTTGAATAAAAACTTGTAAAAACAAAATACCAGTGAACAAGCATCTTCATTTACTACATGTTTACTTAGAGATTATTACATTATGATGCAGGTTCTCATTATTCATTGACTGTGTCTAAAATATCAAATATGTTTTAATAATAATACAATGCATCATACGATGAATTGCATCATATTAGTGTATATAATAGGTCATCAAATCAGTGTCAGTTAACTCTGTCAACTAGGTTGCCTGTAGGGATTTTTAATGTCCAGCAGGTGTCAGTATTCAGTGACACAGTATCGACACAGTATCAATACAGTTTGGTAATGTGTCGAAACGTTTCATGACGCCTCATCAACCCATCACTACTGATGAGCATGAGTTTAGATTCAACTTTGGGACTCTTCTTCTTACCGAGGCTGCGGTTGCTGAGGTACTCTCTGAGACTGATGTTGCCCAGCTGGTTGGGTGTGAGCCGACCAACCTCTAGAGCCACGGCTGAGCTCTCGCCCACCGCCTCCATGCCCACACACACCGACTGCACCTTCAACACCAACACAGAGACCTGGAGGACGGGAAAATCCCAGTCAGCATCGTAAGCTACTGCTCTAAAACCTTTGGGGTTTCTTTATTTTGACCATATAACTTCTGTGTGACATCCTGAAGATCTTACTGTATCTTTGGTGGATTCATCGATGCTCTGAGAGGCGGCACTGATGCTGTCGGGGGACACGCCCTCCTCCTTTTCCTGAACGGCTAATGCCTCTGTGACGCTCTCTGGGACACTCTGCTCACTGATGGCGTCCTTGAAGCCAGATATGGAGACGTCATCTATAAACCACAATAAGGGAAAATAAAAAGAAATTTGGCTTTAATGTCACTCATGGTTTCCTGTAAAGCACAATGCTGCCACCTTCTGTTCACGGTGCAATGCTACAAGTAAATCTTTAATAATTTTTTTTTTTTGTTTTCTCGAAAAAAAAATGTAAATATAGGATCAGTGGCAAAGCAACATACATGAAGTTTATTACAGCTGGCAGGTAAAAGATGGAAAAACTATTTATACTCTGGGAGAATTTCATTGATATGAATAATTCACCTTCATCAGCCTCTTTGCTTTATTTTCTCACATTAAATCAAAGTACAATAAATGAAATATGTGAAAATATTTGAGCTTAATAAACAGTTTGAGTTTTTGCTTTACAGGCTTCCATCAACAGGCCTCCAATTGTCTAATAATGTGAATTAGACATTCAGAAGCTCATAATTAGAGCTTTACCTGAGTCACAATATTAAAGCATTTAGCTGAAAGAAAAAATTAAGATGTTGATCTTAACTGACCAAAAACAGTAGAAGCTACAGTCAGTGAAGAAAATGGTGTGTAGAAATATAACATGACAAACTGCTGCATTTTCTCAACCTCTTTCCATCAAGCTGTAAGTATCTCCATCTTCCATGAAGGAGCTGTCTATGGAGATGTCATCCAGGGACTGAAGGGATGGGCTCTTCTTCATGTTCTTATACGACACGGAGAAGCTGGACTGGGAGCGATCTCGCATCAAACGACCGCTGCAAAACAAAACAATCCAGCATGAGAGGAGGAACAAAAGAAAACTGGATGAAAAGGACAGAATTACATCCTAATGCGCAAAGTGGGAACTACACCAGTTTGGAAACTAGATTTAGATAAAATTATACATAAACAGAAAAGGGTAAGATAGTTTAATTTATGATGGCAACTGATATTTGAGTCTAATGTGCTCGACTGTTAAGCAGTCATGAATTAAATATACCTTATCCTTGTGTAGAGTTGTTTAATGTCTTAAAAGCAGGTGGATCCACAAATGATATAAACACCCATAACACCAATTAGAGAACACAAGGCCACAGAGACACAAAACTCCTTGTTTACCTCCAATATCAACAGAAAAACATAAATATAACATTATAAAATAATATAGACAATGAAGACCAGGGTGTTGTGCACACATGCAAATCCATGCCCAACGGGGGTTTCTAGATTTGGTTCAATTTTATTCATGAGACAATTACAAAACAAGGACAGGATCACACATATAGTGCATCCGTACCAACACTGTTGATGCCGACTTCACAGCGACAGTGCAGCGCGTTCTGACTTTCTGTTTGAACGCCACCCTTTCTACCAAAACTCTGCTGCAGCACAGCCTCTGTCCATCTGTGCACAAGTTTGCTGCGCTTTACGATGCTTTGAAAGATTAATTCAGCTTAAGAAGAGAGGAATTCACCTCCGATTAGAGATGTAAAAATTTTCAGAGGATAACTTCAAATGTGCTCAGGAAAGTTTGATCATTTTTGTTACTCTGCAACAAAATGAGGTAATTAGAGTCTGTTGGATGTCAGAAAGAGACGTGACCTAGCACTAAATATCCTCACCATTTCTCTCTGCCTTTCTTCCTGTCATGCAACTGAACAAATGTGGGTATAGAAAATGACAAACAAAACAGAACTAAAAAAAATTAAGAGAATTTAAGTAGAAATAAAGATCAGGAAGCTCTTATTATGTTGCACACACGTCACGCTGAAGGTGTGAAGTCGGCTTTTTTTTTTTTTACATGTAGTCACAGATCCAAAGCCTTACATGTTAGACATGGCATAAAGGGAGGAGGATCTGCTGGAGTTTGAGGAGCTGAGAAGATCAGAAAGCACAGACAAACTTCCTTTCCTTGGTAGAGAGAAAACACACACACAGCCGCATCGGTCAAAGCGAAAGTCAGGAGGCAGGAAAGAAAGTTAAGGAGTTCAGCAATGATGGATAATAATATAAAAAAAAAAAACAGAGACTGTCTAAGTTCAAACACAAAGCTCTTGTGTTCAAGGAGAGATTGTATGAGTAGGAGAAATACATGTAGGGTAATGATAGTAAGGTTCAAAGACACATACAGGTCAGAGGAAAGAGGACAAACATAACTCTGTGGATGCATTTAGTTTTATTTTAGTGGATGCATTAACCAGACTGTGAATGTCTAAATTAAGGATCAAGATGTCCTTTTTGTCCCTTTATTGTGGGAAATCTGTTTTCTGCAGCTGCAAGCATGAGTTTAATAAAACACACAACATATGTGTGAAAAACAAAAAGCAATAAACACAACCCAGCTCTGTGACCTGACAGCAACACGGCTCTACAACAGAACAGAGCTGTTTATCACTGATTAATAAACAATAACAATAACTGAACACTCCAGTTCACCTCAGTCTGAGAATCTCTAATGATTTTTTTTAACCAAATCAGTCTCCTCTTGTTGACCTTCTGTCTAAAAGAGTATTTTTTTATTTTTCTCCTAAATAGATTCACAAGCAACCATGAGTCAAGCATTGCTTGGCTGTAGCATTGAAAATGAAGCGTTTATAAGCAAAGTGAGCTTAAAGAAGAGCCTGTTCTGTGAATGTGTGTCCAAGAGGAGGTTTACCTGGATATTGACTGGGGTATCTTTGCAGCTGTAGTCTTCTCTTTTTCATTTAAGTCAGAAAGAGGGTCACTCACGCTGGTTTTAGAGTCCAAAGTAGAACTCACTTCTTCCCCGGATGCTAACCCATCCACCACAGCCTCCGCTCCTTCATCTGAAGCCTCCCTTTCCGTATTTTTAGCCGGGGTCTCTTCAGATGCTAAGGAGGGAATTAGAGTAGCTCCCCCCTCTGGAACGGCACCACATAACAGCTGGTCTACAGCTGCTCCCCCGTCTTGAGATGTGGGCTCCTCGTTCCCCTTAACGGACCCCTCCCTCGCATCACTCCCTGGTTCCAAAGTTCCTCTGCTCTCTGACGGGGAGAGCTCTGACCCCACAGGAGATCCCGAACCCTCAGGCTGGGGCATGGGCTTCATGAGGAGCGACACCTCCACGCTTTTGAGCAACAGGCCCAAGCAGAAGGTGAAGGGTTTGTGGTCAGCAGGGGGTTGGGACGTGTCTTTGCGCTCTCTCTTTGAGGCCATGGCCTCCAGATCCTGCTGCAGTGTTTGCTGCAGGGTTTTGAGGCTCCGCAGAAGGTGCATCAGAAACACATACTGCTGATGGCTCACCTTAAACACAAACAGGGATATTTATGCATCTGATCATAATAACAAAGATCCTTGCATCATTACAAAGATTACAAAAATAACAGAGTTAACATTTAAAAACTGCTGTTTATGTAGAATAATCAAAGGTTAATAAAAAGAAATTAGTCAAAAACAAAATAAAAAGCGCACCTGAGCACTTAAAGGTTTCTGCATATGCACCAACAGATGGACGTCTGCATCTTTACTTGATGATGACAATGAAGAGCAGGAGTTGGACAGACTGTCCAGTGAGGCGGGTTTATGGAGCCCGTTAGTTTGCAGAACCGTCGAATTGTTGCAGTGGGATGATGCCGGCGCACTTTCGGTGCTGTAATACTCCTTAAGCATTCGTTTCCTCTCCAAACGTGCGACCGCCTCTGCTGAAGAGCTTTTGGACATTCCTGTTCCTGCAGAGTCCTTCAGCTTCTCCTGATGCTGGACAAGCTTGGTGGGCTGACAGGCCCACACAGTGAGAGGGAAAGAGTCCACGAAGGGCTGCGGCCGCCCTTTACCTCCACGGGTGCCTTCATAATCCACCCAAAACTGTGCAAAGTGCAGGGCCCAAAAGTCAGTAGCTGCGGGCATCTTGAGAGCGTCTGCCCCCATGGTGGGCTCCACCAGTCCCCGAGAGACGTCGTGGAGCTTTGTGTCTTTTTCGTGGGCGTGCCGCTGGAAGACGGGGTGCAGAATGGGTACAGAGGAAGGGGAGCGGGGGAAAGAGGAGAAAGACGGAGAGAAGAAGGCCTCTCCTTCAAAGGCCTGCAAAAGGGCCTCAAGGTGGGAGCGGGTGCAGTTGGAGGGGTGTCGGGTGTTGGTGGCTACCATTTCAGATGTCTGTATGGAGATGGAGCGAGGCACGTCTGCAGTGCAGGGGGCATCCTGATCCGTGGGAACCACCAGCTGATGCAGAGCAAAAACAACAACAGATTACAAACTAAACCTTTTTAAACGTTTTCCTTTCCTATGTTTACAAACTGTGTTGTGCATGAGAGCGTCCAATGGCTTTCACTGAATACGTTCATATTTTTAGTCAACAGTGACCTGAACAGATCAGTTTTAAAGTAATGAACATGAACGAGAGAGACATTCACTCTGAGAAGAATGAGCGACACTAAGCTCACGTTAGCGTTCAATTGATAACGACACTTTTCATTGGATAATCTCAGGTTTTACTGCACTTATTACACAGTTTTTGTGCCAACTGTGCCCAATGGGACTTAACGAGTCCGTATGTCCACTTTAAATTTAACACAACACATCAAATTAAAGCATCCAAGCTATCTTGGGAAATATCTGCTTCTGAACGAGGAACATAAGAAGTAATTTTTGATGCAGATCTTTCCAGCTGAACCTGAGTGTACCTGTATTTTTATGAAGTTCTCTGTAACGTGGCTAAATAAAGGCTTCATTCCACATCAGTAAACCTTGACTGATTCAAGTATTTCTTTCTATAAATTATGATCACACCTTTAAAAGGTGAAATATAAGGTTTTATTGTGTAGGATTGTGTCTTTATCTACCAAATGAACTTGAACTAGTTCATTTATAGGTTTCAGTTTTTGAAAAATTGAACTATGAAGATGCAGTAGTTCTTTTTAACCATAAATTGGCGCAACATTGCCTACAACCATAATGGACTAAAATAACAGAACATTAGAAAGAAGTAAAATAAAAATTTAATATATTTAAACAGCAACCATAGAAGTTTGTCTCCTTAGAAAAAAAAAAAAAACAAGCAGTCCTTACTTTCAGCATGAGGCCGTCCACCTTGATGTCAACGTGCTCGTCAGGCTCCTGGGAGTCGTTGAGCTTGTAGATCTCCCTAAACTGCTCCAGACTCTGCCTGAGGTCCAGAGCAAAGAGGTTGATCCACACCAGGCTGCGAGGATCCAGAACAAGCTGCAGGGCGTTGAGCTGGGCGTACAGGTTGGGACAAGGAACTGCAGGAGGAGGAGGTGGGAGCAGAAAATGTGTTTTTAATGTAATAATATGAGACGTGGAAAGAAAGCTAATGGAGGTGATTATTTACTGGGGTAGTCTTTTCCATCAGGAAAGTAGTATTCTGTAAACTCTACGTGGATGGCAGGCATCTCTGAGGGCAGGTATAAGGACTTCTTATTGCAGGAGATCATGGTTTTGGGGCTGGAGTGCCGCTGGTCTGCTGTGGACACCTACAGAACAAAGAGACCCGGAAAAGGTCAAAGGGACGGATTCATGCACTTTGCTATTTTAGGGTTCGTGGTAATGACCTGGTAGATGCTGAAGTCTGCTATCCTGAGAACAAACGAGCTGGACATGAGCTGGGTCTTTGGAGACTGAGGAGGAGGAGGAGGGCTGAAGGAAGAGGAGGTGTTAATCTTACCTGGAGAGAAAGGAGGAGACAGGAAGGAAAGGAGAATAAGGGAGGAAAGAGCAAACCAATCAAACAGGGAGGCTAACTGCAGCCGCTTGGCTCGTCAACCACTGTGGATCACCGCACCCAAACACACACGAAGCGGTACCTGCTTCTAGGCACCAGCAGCACTGGGGTGGAGGTTGAGTGTAGTGGCTCCAATCTATGAGTCCTCCATCTCCCTCCCTAAGCCCTACTTCTCCTTCTCTGTCCTGACTTCCTAGGGGTTCATAAACCTCGTCCTTAAGGGACACTGAGGGACAGAAAACCCACAGGGATGACGTCCTGCTGAGCTGTCATTCGTGCTACATGATAAAGCGTGTTTGTTTACCATGACGTGGGGAGCTGTGTGCTGCGCCGGGGCCTTCTCGGTCTCGGACCACAGTCTTTAACCTTTCTACGTTGGTCCTGAACTCCTCCAGCAGACTTTTAGCCCAGCTCTCTCTGGCTTTTGTTGCCTCGCTGTAGTGCATCCAATGGACACAACTGTCCCCTGAATGAAATACAAAAAAAGTTCTGTTTAATAAGCGCCACAGCAACAGAAAAAAAGCAAAGAGGGAAGTAAAAAAAACAGACCTGCTCTGTGGAAAGGATAGTAGTCGAGGGTGATGGAGCTGAAGGAAAGCTGCATGGCTCCACCTGTTATCCTCCTGTTGGTGCCTAAGGAGCAGAAAAAAGAAGGGAGGTGTTAACTACAATCAGACCTGGAAGGTCGGTCCAGATTTACCAAAATCCAGAGGAGAAACTGAAGCCAGAAAGGTCAAACTAGTTCAGTCTATTCATCTTTTAGAAACATCACCATCACATTTGCAGGTGAAATGTAAATAGAAGGAGGTTGTAATTATTTTTGCAAAGCCTTGTACCTGTCAAATAAGCAGTCCCACATTTTGAGCATACCTTTGTCCCTGCCGTGGATGTCATCACAGATGTGCAGGTCCAGGTGTGTGATCTGGAGGTGGTGGGACGTCTCGCATACGTCGTAGGCGCTGAACAGCTTAGCCATGGTCGCATTCTGGTCAGCAGCTGCAGACGCCTGCTGCGTGCGCACTTGTTGGGCAGTAGGGGGCGGCGATGACACCTTGTGAACATGCAGAACATCTTTGATAATTTCTGCCCTTTTTTTTGCAGCTACCCATCCTTTCAAGCTATTGTTTCTGGAGAAAAAGAAGTCCTAAAAAAATTATTTAGCACTGAGAGGGCCCTCATTCACGCAAAATGTGGAGTTTGTTATTAAGAAACCACGATTGAGTCGACGTCAAAGTGACATTAGCCAAATTATTAATATGAGGAAAAGTTTCCATACCTACTGTTCAAGTAAAAGGTACATTTCTGTTACTTTTTTGTTTTTAATTTAAAGTTGCTGCAACAAAAAACATTTTAATTTTTTAACCCATGTTTTCATTAAAAGGGTGCTGTGCTCAATGTCTCCACCAGATGGACCCTAAGAGTAGCTTGAAGTGAGTGGGCAGGGAGAGAATGGTTGGAAATTTTGTGTAGAGGAAAATATTTTTGGGTTTTTGTGGTTTAAAAAAAACTAAACTATTAAATCAGACAGTAAGATCAGCAAAGAGGCGCAGAGATAATATCAGCAGATCAGCTCACAAAGGAAATACTGCAAGAAACCGGTTCAGGTAGTATCAATCTGCTTTAAACATGCGAGTAAATTCACTTCATATGTGGGGAAAATACACACTTGATCGTCAGTAGCCATGCTCTTCCTCTGCTGAGCAGACTTCTCCATGGCCTCGCTGAGTGACTTTGCATACTGCACCATGGCTTTGAGCTGGGAGTCAGTCAGCACCCACAGCAGGTCGTCCAGGATAAGAATCAGCTTTGAAGCCACCACGTTGCAGTCCTTTATCTGCATCAGGAACAACCGTACGTATAAACATCAAACACGTCTCTGATTACCTTCTAAAAGTTGTCACAGCATGAATCATTTTTGGTGCAGCTCTGCAGCATGCTCCAAACAATTTGGTGTGTATGTTTTTCTAACCCGTCTCTTAAGAGTGACTCTGATTTTGGACTGGTTGGTGATGAGGCGGATGGGAGCACTCAGCATCTCGTGCTCAGCGCTCTGGATGGCGTCGGCTTCGATACGGATCATCTGCCAGCTGATTTCTTTAAATGTCAGGATCTGGAGTCAAAACGCGACAATGAATCAGAGAGCTGCAAACAAGACGCTCTAATCAGCACGGATTTACTGTGAAATGAGCCCACCTCCCCCCGCTGAGGATCCTGGATGCGGGTGAATCGGAGGTCACTGATGCTCCAGCTGGTGTTGACGCTGTACACCTGCAGCTGGGAGAGCTCAAAGGAGGCGTTGAAAGCCTTGGCGCTGATCTTGATGACGATGGAGTTGATGGATAACGAAATGCCCTCCACCACTTTCTCTGCAAATCCGTATTCACTGCACAGATGACAAACATGCCGATTAGCACAAAAACTGTAGGTTTTAAAACTGATGCATCTTTTCACAATTAAAACCAGAAAAGGTTTTTTAAGGAAGATAGTAGAAAAGCTCACCTTTGTCCAGAGGCTGTAGCGATGGGAGACGGACCATTAGGAGGACGAGGCTCATCACATGTGCTCATTTCCATTATCACCTTATCCAGGGTCTGAAAGAAACCAATGTTCAGTGCAATCTGTTTAGCTTGGACCTTTTTCCAAAAGAAAAATATTTCTTTGAAAGTAGGGGCACATAACTACGGAAGAGGATTAAGGCCAGTGGGAAAAAAAAAAAAGTTAACTGATTTTTAAATTTTATTTCAGTTTAGTATGGGAAAAAAGTCAGAATTCTGATTTTTTTTTCTCAGAATTCTGATTTTAATCTAAGAATTCTGACTGAATTCTGACAATAAAAAGTCAGAATTTTGAGAAAAAATTCAGAATTTTGAGAAAAAATTCACAATTTTGAGAAAAGTCAGAATTCTGAGAAAAAAGTCAGAATTCTGAGAAAAAAAGTCAGAATTCTGACTTTTTCCCCATATTAAACTGAAATAAAATAAAAAAAAATCAGTTCACTTTTTTTTTTCTTTTTCCCAGTGGCCCTAATCCTCTTCCGTACATAACAGATGTGGCAAACATGTGACTGCTGGTTCCCAGCAGCCTGTGCGCTGCTAGGAAACAAATATCCAGGGACTGAGACGGTTAACCCGACACCTGCGCCATGAAAGATGGCAGCCATAGAAAAGACACAAAGAAATACTGTTATCCCAATAAAAACAGCACCTTATGCCTTTTAAAAGATGTGACTCCTGAAACTAAAATAAATCCGTCATAGAAGATTCAGTAACTCAGTTTAACTGAACATTAATGAAGCAACATAACTTGGGTTGGAGGTGATTCAAAAGGCAGGTTGTTCAGATATTAGAAAAACCTTCATTCCTCCATTAAAAAAAAAAAAAAAAAAAAATCAAGGATCATCTAAGGCAGAGGTCACGGATTAGCGGACGGCGTCCTGGACCCACCTGATTTAAAACATCAAAAATTACTGCACGTTGTCTGATGAAAGTGTCTAACCCCAGACCTGCGCCCCAGTTCTCCTGTGCAAAGTAAAGCCTACAGCCTCCGCTTTTTCTTTCGTCTTGCTCCGCTCCGACTTCCTCGGAGCTCAAGGAGAGCATGTGCAATATTATTATTAAATTCAGCAGCAAAACATGTGTAAATGAGCGCTTAATTTAATTTGAAATGTTAAAAAGATCCCCACCATCATCTAACCAGCATATGTTCAGTTTCTGCCCAGCGATAACTAGGATCATCCATGGTTTGTATGAACTATGTTTTTTCTCTACTTCCAAACTCAGCATCACGTCATTTATGCCTAAGATGAGAAGTTTCTTTTAAAGTTGTGAGAGGCACTGTTGGGCGTTTTGACCGGATTTGATGAAACTTTTAAGCCTCTTAGTATAAAATAAATATTTTGATCAAGATGAGAAATTTGCTTCCTGGTATGTTGAAGTACCAATTGTTTGCATCCAAGCATTTGAACAAACGGCTTTAGTTTTTGGAAATGGAATGTCTTTAGAATGGCTTTGTCTCCATTCAAACCCAGTTTAAATCCTTGCTGGGCAGCCTAAAGCCCACTGCTCTCGTTAAGCCAGAAAAAAACAAAGAAAACAAACTCTTAGTTTGTAAAATATGAGAGTCAGGAAATTGTCTATATACGAAAGTGAACGATTGTTGTTCTCTACTTCAAAAACACTTTAGATTTTAAAATGGAAAAAGTTTCTTTTTTAACAGATTATAATTAAAAATCTCTCCGGACCTTTACTGGTTGATGATTTTCTTTATTCGAACCCCGCTAATTTTTAACTGGTGACCCCGTATCTAAGGTCTTTTCTGTCAATTCTGGTTTATTTCAATATAAAAGATAATAAACATGAATATAAACTTACCAATGAAATCGGGTGAGTCTTCAGTTTTGTCCATGGTATCTATTAGTGTAAATAGAAAAGATGTTAAAACACTAAAATATATCAAAGAGCAGTTAAAGCAAAAAACAACAGTTCAGACAGATGAGAAGAGAACTAATACCAGTTGATTTAGAGTCCACCTCAAATTATATTGTAGAATAAACTTAGTGCATGTTTTCAGTAGTAGGTTTTATTTCCACAGCATAACTTTCCAAACTAATAACTCAGGCTTTGACACTTAAAGTAAACATATTTATTAAACATATTTCATTTGATTTGTTTAAAGTTTGCAGCATTAAGTGCTAGTTCATTCACATCTCAGCCTCAAACCATTAACAATGCATCTTCATTAGAAATATAAAACTACATACTAAACAATAAATGAAGTCATAATGATGCATAAAAAGAAATAAAATACATATTTTTTAGGAGCAGCATAAATGAAAAGCTTTAATTTCAGTAGATTTATTCAGTTGGAGAAAATAATTACGTGACTGCAGGGCTAATCTTTCACAACGCCAATGCAATAACTAACTGAAGATTTAGGGCTTTTATTCTTCAAATTAACCAAACTCTGTGGCAGCTTTAATTAGTAAAAATATGACTTTTAGTTTCCAGGTGGCACAAAGACCAGTTTCTCTTCAGATAATGTTTAAAATGAGAGAGAAAAGATGACATGCAGGTAACCAGAAGCATGCTGATCTTCATACATTAGAAAATGGCTCCTTTAAACCTGTCTAATCTACAGTCAGAACAATACATAATTACTTTATAACAACTGGAATTTTTTTATCCCTGTAGCATAAAGGATGTAAAAAATGCTTCCTTTTTAAGTTGTTTATTTTTTTTTTCTCTCTCTTATGTTTTAACTACTTTTTCTACTACGAATAGTCTTTTCCTTCAGCTTCATAAAAGCTATTGCGAATAATTAAAGGAGATCCATTCAACATTATCAGACATCAACAGGACTATACAGAGCATCCTGCCCAGCTACAGCACTGCAAGATATGGTGTCATTAGTTTTTGCTGCAGCACATAGTGAGAGAAACAGAGAAAACCTCTTGCTTTCCTCTAGGCCTTTCCTCTCGGCCTTCTAACCATCGTCATCTTCTGGATACCCGTACAGATTTCAGGTAACGTTCTGGCATAGGTAGGAAATTGACAACAAAATTCACTTAAATAAACATAAACTTTGGTATATTTGTAGATAAGGAGGTTGGTCCAGATGGTTCTGGCATCTAAGTCTCACTGTTAAGTATAGTGAAGGATGAGTAATGCTGGGGGGGAAGTCTCTTATTCCTATGGGACTTAAACCTTTTCTGTGGATTTAAAAGGGGATGATCTACGGTTAAAAGATGTCCCCCTTCTTCAATTTCTCAGTGCAAGTTAAGGTTATAACAAAAAAATATTGATCTATTTAAGGATTTTTTCCCCCCATATCTATACCCAGAACCTACTTTATAAACCACATTTAACCAGCAGAAATAACAATTATAAAACATTAGGGCACACTGTTGGGTTTATCTCTTTTATAAAAGGAAGATACAAGAAGAGAGGGGTTAGACATGTCAGGAAGTGAGATAAGAATTTGCATCCTCATATTTAAAACCATCTTGGAACTAAAAACATGAAGAAAAAAAAAAAAACCCACAATGAGCTGTAAAAAAAATGGTTTCTGTTCACCAGCTCCTGCTGTCTCACAGAAACTTGATATACTTTTAGTAAATGATTAGATTCATTAAAAGAAAAACTGCTTAAGTTTGCATGAATACCGAGGATGAAGAAGGGCAATGAAAGACGAGAAAAGCAAAGTTTACTGTGTTTGCTCCACAATCAAACGACTAGTAAAAATAAGCCAAAATAAATAAAGGAAATATTTCGGCCGAGGGGAGGTGGAATATGGACCTTGGTCTGACCAAATGTACAGTCATAAGTTAATTATACAGCCTCCGTCAGTTTTTCAAGGGTGTGCCAAAGTCAGAACTTGGACTTGATCCATAGCTGCGACCAAATCAATACATGGAACAGACAGGGGAACAGTGAAAGCAGAGGAAAACAGCTGTAGAGCCAATTACTGCATGTAAGATTTATTAATGCACATAATATACATGATTAAATGGGTAAAATAAAAAAATAGATGATGGATGGACAGATGGGGGAAGGACATTATCAACTGTTTCCTGGTGTTCCTTCCCTGGAGTCTTTAAAATGGCTTATCCTGTGACGGAAACACTCACCCTGATGGCAGCCTTGTTGCAGAACACACGGTTGATTGCCAGCCAGGTGGGCAGGTCCAGCAGACTCTGCAGGACCTCCTCATCCAGCTCCAGGTTGGTCAGCTGGCCCTCCCCCTTCAGCGTGCTCAGGTTGATCTTGTCCGGCGACAGGTTCTTAGCAAACCTGCAAGACAACGGGCCAGTGCCAAGCTTAGAGGCTGAGGATATTAATAGCAAAGGAGTTGTTGGCAAACAGTCATCACCTGATATTCTGCTGGTGCATGAGATGTTGATAGAAAAACACCCACATCTAAGCGTTAGGATAATGTAAACACTCACTTTTATGTATAAACCAGAGTCAATATTGAGACTATCATGCAGCACTGTCTAGTTTCAAGCTGGTTTGTTAATTTTTTTTTTTTATTATTATGTAAACACCACAGTGTAGCTCTGATGAGAGCTTACTCTCAATCAAATCTAAACTGGTGAAACACTTTCCTGCATTTTACAGTTACTGCTTCAGAAAGTTTGGAATGAATTACTGTGGACAGGGTTCCTACGACATAAGGCAAGTTAAATTCAAGACTTTTTAAGACTTTTTAATGCCACTTGACATAAAAATCTAAGACCAAATTTACAAGAAACACAAGAAAAACCTGCTTGCGACAACTTAACCCAAAGGTTTACTTTAACATAAACCGCTGCACTAATGTTTCAAATTTTGAAAAGATTCCCATACAGGAAGAAAGCTAAAAACACACAAATAACAGATATATTTTAACAATTATTTAACTGAATTCACAAACTTTGTTTTAGCAGGGAACAAAACAAATCAGTTTTAAAGCCACAGCATAACCAGTGCTAAGTCTGTTTTGCAGCTATTTTTCTTTGTATCGTTTTCTTAGTGTGTTTGATTTGGTGATAAGTGGAGGAGTTGCAGAGACAAGGGTGGAACAAAACTGAGAAATACCGGCTGGTTCTCGGTAACTCAATTTTGACGATTTGTGTTTCGCGCTTCGCATGCGACTCCACTGCCTTAATTCTCATCGTTCCGAGCTTAAATGACTTCTTGCACAAAATCCACTCTGCCTCATGTATGTTCTCTGGTTTTAGCCATGGAGAAAACTCTTGGCTGGAGACAATTTTCCTTCATTTACACTTGCTCATATTTTCCAGACAAAAAGTTAATGGTGCATCTCCCAAATGTCCCGGCTGCAACAACGTTTCATTGGTTCTGCTATCGGGACGGAACCAATAATGGAGAGCCGTTATTTTTTTTTAAATAAAAAAAAAATTTTGTCAATTTTAATGCTTTATTTAGATTACAAAAATAAATCGTAATAATAATAATCCTATTCATGATGTTTTAAAAATTAAGACCTACGAAAGACTGATTTAAGACATTTTAATACCAATTAAGGGCTTAGTTTTATTTTGAAGAATTCAATGCCTTTTAAGACTTTTTAAGGACTCGCAGGAACCCTGTGTGGAGGAATTAAGTTGAGCATCATTTAAATGTCCTGTAATTACCTGCAGATTGAAACTATTGCCTTCCTGACACCTGGAATTATTATCCAGCTCCACATAAAGACTTTGGAGTGGCCTAATAAAAGTGGGATGACTGAAAACAGGTCAATAATGTTAAATGAATAGAAAAGGAAATGTTTCTGCAAAGAAAATTGCTATAAAATTCCATTGACGTATATTTTTTTAAATATGTGCCTTCTCAGGTTGTATCTAACTATAAAATGAGTTTGATGATCGGAAATTTTTGAACAACAAAAGGTAAAAATAGAGGAACTCTATTGACTTCTCTCTTATTCCATCTGAACAGGTCATCTGCGTCAGCGGGATTAATTTATCTATTACAGAGACGCAGTTTGGAATTACTCCACTTTGGTTTCTTACAGTGAAATGGTGAAAAAAATACTTTCTTGTTTCAATTGAAAGTTTAGAGATTAACAGAACATTAAGAACTGAGGACGTATTTCACAGGAACTGGAGTTTTCCACCGACAAAACAAACAGACAGGGTAATAAAAATACTCCAGGTTAGAAGCCCTGTGGGGAGAATCTGGGCATGTCTTTAGATAAAGAGATCTAAACACACAACTGTGAGGGCTATGACCTAAATGTTCTCCACCCCAATGAACTATTAGTTAATAGTTAGCAAAATGGCCTGATACTTAAGAGTATGGTGACCAATTTATCTCTGCAGCTTTAGAGACAATAGGAGCTTAAATCTCTGTTTCTTTCTGCCAAGAGGCAAACAAATAAACTGTTCAAACTTATGTTTACCAGCCAAAAATCATTGCAGTGAACACCACAAAAGAAAGCCCAGAAGTCTAACAGTCTGTATAACGTAATAGTATTAACCAAGGCGAGCTTGTTAGTCTGCTAATCTTTCAGCTGTGAAGTAAGACGGATCAAAGCTCAGACTTCACAACAAATAAAAACACCTGTAAGTATTTCAAAAGGTAACTCTGGGCTGTCATTAAACTTTATTAGTGAGATACAGACCAAATACAGTAGTTGTTCTATCTGCATCCTGGAAAAAAAGTAACAAAAAAAACCTAGGGCTCAAACTAACGATTTTTTTTGCTAATCGATTAATAGGTTAATTACTTTTTTGATAAACAATTAATAATCTGATAGCCAAAATTCCTTAAAGAAAACTTTTTACTAAATTATACCAGGTGAAACTGAAACTTCTCCACTTAAGGAGTTCTGGATAGCGCCTACAGTGAGATGAAAAACTTTTTTTAATCATAAATGCAAAATGTTTATATATTTCTTTCAATCTTGGTATAATTAGAGCTCTAAGTGAGTCGCTCTGTCAGCTAAAGCCATCTACATGCCTCCCTATAATCTATCTAACAATCAATTACTAAATTAGTTGAAGACTATTTCAATATTTGATTGATAATTTTTAATCTGAATGTTTCAGCCCTAAAAAAAATACAGAAGTTGAAGAATTAAGGCAATCAGCAACATTATAGATGCATTAGATGCATATCAACTGCTTCACTGTGACAAGGCTGTAGCAGTTACTGGGATTAGCATCTGATTTGATGATATACAAACAAAAGAAGGGCAAACACTATAATCCACTTTCTTTGAAATGCATGGTAGCCAGGATGGATTTGGACGTGATGCTGTTGGCAAACCTTGACCTTTGCATGTGGGATTGTGACATCATGGCTTCCAGCAGGAGGCTTTATGGGTCAGACGTGTCGCAGCTCCATTATTCAGGATCAGATTCATGTCGAAATCTTTATTGCATTCCTAACAACCTAAAGATGACAACATTGCTAAGCTAAAGTAGACAAACTCCAGGTTATATTTAGAGCTTTAATTAGGGCTGAAACTATTATTCAGATTAATATTTGTGATTAATATATTATTAAAATAATCACCAACTAATTCAGTAATCGATTGTTAACTGGAGTATGGAGACTGTAAGACAAGCCTTTAGTTAACAGAGAAGCCCATTTAAAGCAGTAATTATATCAAAATTGTAAAACAATGTATAAACATTTGGCAATTTAGATTCCGTCTGTCAATATGCTCTATCCAGAACTCCTCAAATGGAAAAGTTTTTGTTTTACCTGGTTTAATTTCTTTAAAAAAACTTTTCTTCATACCTATCCGATTATTAATCGATTAATAAAAAAAAAATAACCAACAGATTAATCCATTTGCAAAATAACTGCTAGTTGCAGCCCTAGCTTAGATCATCAGCTAGAAAATTAGAAGCTTGGAGGGGTTTGTTTAAAAGATGGCCTTTAATACTACCAACCAGGAAAACTAGAGCAGACAACAAAACCTTTAATTACTTGGAATGGTCAAATCTACAAAGGGCTTTGAGTAAAATATTTGATGCCATCTTATGTCTTTAGATATAAATGTTACTCACTATACAGCCTCACAGCTAACTAGCTTAAAATATGGAAGATTATAGTACTAAAATCCTCCAACAGGCTACTGAATACAATGAGGTGATTAAAAACACGAACAAACAAGGATTTCTGGCTTTTATACAAATAGAAATAAATAAATAAAAATATCCATGGGGAAAGAAGAAGACCTAAAGAAGGTTTCAAACAAAAGATGTGCAAACCATACACCACTCAGTAACTGGATACAGGAAGGAGGATAAAGGCCTCATCTAAGAGACAAAAAGGAGCACAGGTTGGTTAGATCCAACAGCCCACGTTCTGAAGGATTCACACCGTCAGCTCGCTGGTGATTTGTTCTCTTTTGTTACTTGACATAATCTTCTGTTAGTGTTAAAATCTTCGGACCAGCATCTGAGTAAGTTATTTAGCTTTAAGATAATAAACAGATCCTTGATGGAGTTAAAAAAAAGCTAAACAGGATGAAGAAAAGTGCATTCTTATAAAAAAAACACAATTGGTTTGTCACTGAGGGTGTCAGGAAAGGGGCTTCTACCTAGTGAGGAGTGAAATATTCATTTAAGCTACCGATCAAGTATCAACCAGCTAGTTTGGCTTACTCTCTCGCTCCTTATCTGGCTTCTCCGCCTCTTATTGGTCACCTTCTTCTCCCAACTCCATAAATAAATCAATACTGTAATTTAGCCAAATGTCTGCAATCAGCTGTCCTTGTATCAGAATCATTAAAGCTACAGACTTGCAGACCTTTGTCATCTCTCAGCACAACACGAACAATTACAGGGTGTCGCCCTTCAGCTATAATCCCACACTGGAATAAATTGAAATCTAGATAAGTTATTTTTTCTTAAAATAAGTGCATTTGTTGTTGGATTGAGGAGGTAAAAGGGACATCTTGCCAATGGAACAAGACAATTTACACTTAAAATAAGAGAACACATTTGTATTGTCTTATTTCAAGTGTATATTTTCTAAATATCTTTTTTTAAAAGAGTAAAAATACTTATTCCATTGGCAAACTATCATTTACCTACTCATATTAAGAGTAAATAAGAAATTTTTACTTATTTTTCTAGTTTGTTTTTCCAGTGCAGACAGCAGGACTGGGCTCATCAGACCAATTCCACATTCATTAAGAGTTTAAAAGAGAGAAAGCCAGTGGTTTCCTACCCTCTGTATGAAATATTAACAGTAATATCCAACCCAGCAATCCTCCCAATTAAAGGTTTGACATGAGGCTTAAGTTTGAAGAGTCTCCTAATAAAAAAGTA